ATAGGCAGCAAACGGACTGGGCGGCCTAAGGCCATGGCCCACTTTTCCGGACCGCGGTGGCTCTCCCGCCATTCGCGATCCATTTAGTTTGTTATCATTTTGCTGGCAATCACTGATCCAGCAGCTGGGTCCCGACAGGGATTCCGAAGACTGAAACCCAAGAACGCGCATGTCCGAGGGAAAGAACACTTCAGTAAGATGATGATTTTCGAGGAACTTCAAGAAGCTCCGCTCTGTACAAACGAAGTTCAATACAGTATAACAAGTTGTAACAGAATCAGCGTCCTCACTACTCGAGAGCACATCAAACCGTTTTGGGCATGCTAGGCACTTGACTCGTGTAGACTGAAACGGGACGTTTCAAGGGAGGTGTTGGGTTTTGACAAGGGTTTCCTGCACGGAGCCATTTAGGCTAAATTCCAATCCGCTTTGTCCCAGCCAATTTCCAATCTCCCATGTCGCGATTGCTTGTTGCAGCCGTGTTTGTTTGCCCCGCATGGGCGGGGAATGATGGCAACGGAGCTCTCAGTGCAGCAACTGCAGCGAGTATGGTCACCTTGCTTGTTGGCATGGGCACCCTCGTTGCAGCAAACTTCTGGTTGAAGAAGAAGTCTTCTGCAGAGTTGCAGGCCAAGCCAGAGAAAGAAGAAACTTGTTGCTTGGCAATGAGTTGGAGTCATTCTGTCTTAATTACTTGGTTTATTTCCGGAAGCGCTATTTCAAGATCTAGACATTTTTGAAGACATCCCTCTTGCACATGTAAAAAGCATTAGAAACCCTACTACTTCAGACCTTTAGACCGTCGAAGCGAGGGAATCCCTCCCCGCTTTCTCGAGGGAAGCGTCAGGTAACATGAAAAAACTCAAGTGCCCAGCGAGCACGGGGAGAAGTTCTCAAGCTGAAGGCACAATCTGGGACCCTTCAGTCCGCAGGGTTGGCTTCAAGCCAGAGTGCAATGCTAACCCTCAGTGATTGTCCCATATTGTCCCTTGCCAAAAGGCACGCTGGGCTGGGTGTCGCCAGCCATTCACAAAGTGCTGCACTTCCAACAACATTTGCACTTCAAGGTTCGCAAAGTGCTGTGCCAGCCATGAAGTCTGCACATCCAATCGCGCTGTCATGGCGCCTTGCAGCAAAAGCCTTTCCAAAGACAACATCAAGATACCAACATGATTTGATACTTCCTCCAAATCCTGAAGCTGAGGCATCCAAAGTTCACGATTCACTGCACCTGCCACGAAATCCGAAGACCACCACCATGTCCAAAGTAATTACTGCACCTGCCGTGAAATCTGCACGAAGTAAAGCGCCCCGATCTCATGCGCCTGCCATGGAAAGTCCAGGTTTTCATTAAGTTTCGCAAGGAATTTTGTTTACCAAAATGGACCTGGCTGAGAGCTCAGCCTTCAAACAGTGTGATTGGCGAGTGCCAGAAAACAATTGTGTGAGCGAGCACTCTTGACTGCCACCAAGACCATCAGGAAAATAGGGAACTTAAGTGTTTTTTCAAGGATTTCCCAGGAACATATTTAATTTGTTTGTGTTGATTGATTACATCCATGATGATAACAAACACAGGAAAATCACAAAACAATTCTGGAGGTGGGGACAGGAAAAACATCACCGGCCTGACAAGAAGCACTCCTATATACGTCCATGACATGCAGAACCGTCCTGACATAGCTCCTTTCGCAATGGCTGGATTTTTTTCTGTTTTGCACGCATGTTGTTTGTGCTCCCGAGCCACTCTTCGTGTTTGTTTTTCCACGTATTCTGGGTGTGAACATATATCAACCACCCCAAAGGTCTAATTATACAATTGTTTTTGATTTCGTTGGTCCGGCATTGCATCATCATACAAGGCAAGCACGTGCGCACAGCTGCCGATGCACCTATGCCACCTGATGAGGCCTTGAAGCTTTTGAAGGAAGGCAATGCCCGCTTCATCAAGGGTGAGCCGCAGGCAACCCGAACCAACAAAGCCATGCGCAAGCAGCTGGTGGACATGGGGCAGGCACCGCACACGGCCATCATAGGCTGCGCAGACTCCCGTGCTCCTTTGGAGACGATCTTTGACACTATGCCGGGAGACATTTTCGTGCTGCGCAACGCAGGCAACACTTGTACTCACGCTGAGGGTTCCATGGTGGGCAGCTTGGAATTCTGCACGGGCAAATTGGGTGCTCGCATGATTTTGGTCCTGGGCCACACCAAGTGCGGTGCTGTCTATGGTGCCACAAATGCCTACTTGGAGGCAAAGAAGAAGGAGGTTTCAAGTGTGAACTCAGCCCTTGAGGGCCTCTTGCTGGACTTGGCTCCAGTGGCAGAAAAGGCGGTGGCAGACATGGGTGTGCAGATTGACGCAGAAGAAGTGGCTGCGCATGCAGTGGAGGTGAATGTCTTCCACACTATCAACTTCTTGCTGAAGTACAGCGCTCCCATCCGTGAGAAGGTGAAGAGTGGGCAGGTTGAGATTCAGGGTGGCATCTACCACCTTGACAC